ATGCAGTATCCCTGTTCAAAAGGCTTCAATGGCATGAAGGCTTCAGTGGAAGAGAATCAGTCACTGCTGCTGAGCTCCACCCCAAACTCCCACAATTAAAAAAAAAAAAAAAACACTCAGACAAACAATCAAACAAGTAACCACAAACAGTAACAGGGCAGATGCAGGGCTAGAAGTCAGGTTTTTCCCCCCCAAGCTAACATCTTTTGCACTAACTCATATTATCTTCCAGCACTAATGAGACCTTCAGTAGCTGCAGTGATTATATATGACTACCTAGCACCAGGGAGGGACTCAGGATTAGTGAATTGGAGAATTGCTACAAAATGCATGCATCAAAACCTAACACACTCCCTCCTGAGCAAGATGGAGCATCACGAGCTAGTACTTACTAGGTCAACAAACTCTCCTGTGACACTGCCATCCAGCAGCTGAAACTTCCCTCCTTTATCAGCCTCCAAGGCTGCTTTTGCATGGGTGAAAGCTTGGACCATCTGCAAAGAATTCAGGAAGAGGCCTGTATTATTTCACATTATCTGTTTGCAAACTTGTTGATTAATGCTTCCCATACAACTACAGAGTCCACAACTCCTGGAAGAGTAGGACAGTCCATAATGTAAAGTCTTTATTGAAAAGGAAAACCCTGTTGCAGACAGAAGCAGCAATGTTAGAGTCCCTACAGCAGCACTTTGCTTGCCCCTAGTTCCTTTACCACACAGCAGTGCAAAGGGAGGAATTTCTCAAGCAGTATTTCTCTGGCTTGGAGACTGCCTAACCTTAAAAGGAACAAAGCCACCAAAACTGAATTCCAAGAGATCTGCTCACACACAGAAAGGGATGTGACTACAGATACGTGCTGAGAACTGTTAAGAACTGGCTCCTAGCTGGCATTAAATCCCTTTTCAACTGATGGATAAGGTGCACGTGTGAGCTGCAAGTTTTACAGACCAGCTTTCTTATTCCACTCTCAGGCACAAGTGTGCCACAGAACACCTTGAAAAGCTTTGCAGGAAGAGCCTTCTCTGCACGAAGGGCAGTTTGCAAAACAATCTTGGGCTTACCTCCTGAGTAACAAATACCCGGTAGAGCTCCTCAGGAGATGTTAAGAATGTGTCTTTCAAGCTGATCTTACACGTAGGAATCTTGACTCCCACAGATTTGGACTGCGACGTTGCTGTATTGCTGCTAGCAGCGGTCTAACAAAATAACAAACAGCAGTGAAGCACACACACACTTTCCCCCCACCAAACTTAAACAAGCAGGCACACACCTAGGAGAGAAACAAAGATCTTTACACTATACTGGAGGGCATCAAGCAGACCGAGCACTATACTTGAATTAAGAAATACCACATTCTGACAATGGAAACAGTCAGACCTGCACCACAGATTTCTGATATATACCCGAGACACATAAATATGAATATACACCCCATAAGCAGAAAAAAATTATTATTGGGACTTGCAACAACAACATGCTATGCATTTTTTCAGAAATCCCCAAAACACATTTGCAGTTTTGTTTACCTTGCGGTCCTCTGCTTTAGGTGCCATCTGAGGTGTTGTTTCCATATGCTCACCATTCATCGTGGGCAAAATCATACCCTGGGTGAATTCTGCAAAGACAGGAGAATGCTCACAAAACTAAAAGATCAAGCAAACCTTTCCTCTGATCTTTGAAACGCAATCAAAAGGGGCCTTCCATTTTCTCCCCTGCTTTTGCTAGCACCCACTTCTTTACTTTTTTAATAACAACAGCAAAACAAACAAACAAAAAAAAAAACACAATTCTTTTGCCCTCACTACTCTCCATTGACGGCTATAATAAAACCTGACAATACAGTTAGAAATATCCTATTTCCAGCCTAATTTCTGCTGTCTTGCACATGCTGCTCTCTACTAGCTTTATACTTCTTTTTTCCATTTCACTCTAATATAAATAGCAATTGCATATCCATTATTTCTTTCTTGCTGGTCTAAAGAAACCAAGCTCTGCCTTTATTTCAGTTGGACTTTCTATTTTTTCAGATCACTGCAGTGCAGAAAAGAAGATGTTTCTAATTCCATCTTAAATTTATCTTTTTTGACAACAGGGCTCTGCACATAATTCCAGGTTAGGCCTCACCAGGGCATTATAGAGAAGCACAAGTATTTTTTCAACTCCACCAGCAGCTTTGGAGCTTCAGCCTCTTCCACCTCTCTCCCTGCCTTTCTTTTGTTAGCAGCTCTATCAGTTCTGCCTTTGCCATTTATAAAGCATTTTGGTCCTTCTCCTTCCTCTTCAGCTGTTCAAATCAGCAAAATTACATCAGATACCACAATTTTATTAAAATGCACACAACTGCATTTCCACCTATTACTACTTAGCCCAGCCCACAAGATCATACAACTCTTTCCAAACAATATCGTCATCATCCACAGGGAGACGGCACCATCGAATATACCACTAAGATCACTAAAACCCAGTGGTACAGAAGTTTGATTCTAGAAAAGCAGTGAACAGTCAAGTTTTGCTTGGTGCAACCATCACTATCTAATGTGTACGGTGCACAGCTGGTTAAGTAGATATGTTGTCTATAAAATAATTGTTTCAGATGCTAAGACAATCTGTTTAGTAACACCAAAACTTGCACAGGAAAGTAAAATTGTCAGGTTCTTTTTCAAATCCAAATAGCACCAGAGCACCCGGTCTTGTTAGTGGGGCAGAAGACAAAACCCACAGAAACTAGTACACCAGAAAACTAGAGAGAAAACACCACCTTCGCAGAGGACAATCAAGCCAAAGGCCAGATTGTGCCACATGCAGTGATGGACGCTCTGCGTTACTGTGGTAGCAAATACATGTTTCACTGGCACAACTTCCACTGTTGCTGGACTTCAGTGTATGAACAACATGCTCAGTTATAAAACATACATCCAAAACCACTGCTTATTATTGGATTATCACTGAATAGTGTTTTGTCGCTGTGCTAGAGGATCTAGAGACATAAGTACTTCTTGTCAAACACCTTTCATAAAAGAAAAATAACTGCTGCCACTTAGAGACCATTTTTATTGAGGTGGAGAGAGCAACTGCCACTGTCTCCTCTTTTCTCCAGGCCTTTATTTAGCAATAGCCCATAACAGTCCAAAACTACTTCCCTCTGAGATACATACCTGTTTTGAGAGTGCTGATGTAAGTTTTCATTGCATCTCTTATTTTTTTTGTACCCTCTTGCTTCATCAGGGTCTTCAAGTTAGTGTCTGGCTCATCTTTAGCAAGGCTGACAAGGATCTAAACCAAGAAAATAAAGACTATTTAACAAAAAGATTACTATTTAAGAAAGCCGCATTTAGCAAGTTCGTTATCACTTGATTCAATATCATAGTTAGACTTTGAGCTAAGTTTTCACAAGGAGCTGTACAGTTTTATAGTCTTTCATTTCGCTTTTATTTATAGCCATTCACCTACTGACAGCCCATTTTAAGTTTTATACCTAGCCACACTGACATGTTATAAGTCCCGTTTTAGAAAGGAATTTGTTTGATAACAACTTGGGTTTAAGCAGTCCCTAACACCAAAAAGGCCCTCTGCAATTGCTTTAAAAAGGTAACAGGGAAATATTAACACTATAAGAACTCTATACGCAGTAGAGTCATTATTAGCTACTACCTTACCTCAACTTCATCAATGTCATTTTCATCCGAGAGATTAGGAATCTCCACATATCCTTTATACTTCACTCCTGTCTTTGAGATACCTGCAAAGAGCAATGATGTCTGGATCAGTGTTCCTTACTCTGGTTGTTCCAAAAACAACCTTGTGTTGTATTGCAAGAAAAATACTTTTCTTCATTTTTACTTCCTAGATAAGAGAGGTGCCCTTAATCCTATGCTTGAACCTGACGGTGAAACAGGAGCAGAGAACGTCACTCACCAGTCCATGCCAGTTTAATAGCCCACTCGTAGAAGAAGATGAGTTTCCCTTTGCGGTTGTTAATGGAGGCTTCTCCATCCAACTTGCTCACTTCTGTCACCTCGCAGGCCCCTTCCTCCCCCTCCACCCTGACTGGCAGCAGGAGTGCTTTAAGCCGCTCCGTGGACCAGTTGGAGGCATCACGCTCTGTCCTGCAGGAAGAGAGGAGTGCAGGTGGATGGGTGGGAGCATCCGAAGCAGATCACGACACCGCGTATATGGGCACAACCCGGGCAGCTGCCAACCTCGCCCCGCACCTCCCAAGCACCACGGGGGCTAGGCAGGCAGAGGGGGCACCAACGCAGTCATCTCGGCACCCCAAAGCCCCGCACGCGGCCCGCGAGAGCGGCCTGTTCTGCCTTCCCTCCCCCGCACACACGGCGGGGAAGGAAGGGCCTCGTTCCCGGGCACCGGCCCGGACTGACCGGCCCGCAGGCCCCGCCGCCCGCCTCGCCACTCACCAGTGCCAGTTGTTGACGTTGGTGGCGTCCGCCCGCTGCTCGACGATCCAGCGCGGGTCTCCCTCACCCCACTTGGCCATCGGGACCGCTGCC